TTTGGCTTTTTGCATTATTATTATTTTATTTTTTATATATACGTTTTTGGTTATCCTACAAGTTTGTTATGTTTATCACAGCATGATTTATGCTGTGTCCAAATTTGATCAAATAAATTAAAATGATTTTTGGTTTTGTGAATGAAACCCCAACGCCCTCAAGGCCAGCGATAATTGTACTATTAAAAATAAAAATACAAAATTTAAGTTATAATTTTTAATTGAGGAAAAAACTGGTTTTAAATTGTATATGTGTGTGTGTGACAGCTATTTGGTTATTATTAGATTAATTCACTTTACGTTGAACATTATTTGCTGTTGAAGAACTGGTTCATTATGAAGCAATTAGTTTAATGAAGTTAGTTTAAATATTTTCTTTATATTTTGTAAAGAAACTTTTTAGTTGAGTTTATATATACAAATATGTATTTAATACTTGAAAGTCCGGAATTTGGTCCACTATTAAAAAAGTTTGCGTTTAGAGAAGTCAATCAATTTCAGAAACAAAAACTTCAAAGGAATTTCACTCATTAATTAAAACATGCTTTAAAAGTTTGTGTTTTGGGGAGAGGAAATAAAATGAAATGGTTTAATTAAATATAAAATATAAACAAATATTTTCATATGCTGATATTTATTTAATGTGGTTTTATTTAAGAAGGTGCCTAAGCCGCTAACTGGCCAAAGTTGCTTTCAATCAAAGCAGAAACAAGCATTATTTACATAACCCACCTAAGGCGCCTAAACGAAACAACAATAAATTTGAATACAATTGGAAAGAAGCAAAACCAAATCCCAAATGTAGAATGTAATTTAGCTTTTTGGGATTTTTGTCTGTTCCTGACTGGTTTTTTTTCGCTATTTATGCCATGTTTTGTTGTTTCTCTTATTTTTATTTATTTTTTCACGAGCCTATTGGCAAACCTCCCACCCTCTTTGCCGCTCTCTTTCTCCACCTTTTTCTTGCTCTCTTTCTTGGGGTTCTCTTTCTTTTTCTTAGGTAAAGTGAAGGTTTTGAATATTGAACAAATATCTAAAACGTATGCTATATTAAATAAATTTATTTATTTTTAACAAGTTAATAATGTAATAAATATCTTAAATTGTAATATTTGAGAAAAGTTTTAAATTTCGTAAATCTTATTTATTTATTTTTCACTTTTAGACACAAAAGGGTTTTAAAATTAAAAGTAAATCTGTTTCCTTTCTCTATATTATAGCTCTTACATTTTTTAAATAAAATATACACATTTTCTTATTTTTTCTTCAATTGTCAATTATCTGTTATTTTCCTATATCGAATAATTCCTGTATTTGTCTTTTTATGCGTTCTCCCATTTGCCATTCTAAGTTTTTTTTTTTTGCTCTTTTTGTGTGTGTGTGTGTGTGTGTTGTTTTCTAGCTATTTCTTCTTCTTGCTAATCGTTGATTCTTCTTTGTAGGCATTTTCGTTGGGTTCTCTCTGTCTCGCTCTCTTTGTCTCTCACGCATGTTTTTTCTTTTTCGTTTTTTTCGTCTTCTTTTTAACAAAGAGGAGGCCGGTTTCTGTTGTCTGTCTCTCCCTATTTTTCCATTATACCCCACTTTTCCCTTTCCACCCCTTTTTCGCTCAGCTGTCGCCTTTTGTATCTGTGTGCGTGCGGCGTGTATCTGTGTGTGCGTGTATTTGTATCTGCGTTTTGTTTTTTGTATCTTCACAGTCAAGGACAAGTTAATGAACGATTTTCTGTTTTGTGTAGAATTTCCTATTTGCGGGGAGGATATAAGGGTCGGGTGGGTGGTAAAAACATGTTTTCCTCTCGACTCGATATAATTATGTACATTATTCTCAACTGAAAAGCTTTTCATTCTTGTGTTTTTCCTCCTCAATTGACAAATTGGGTGAAGGAAAATTGTATGACTTTGTTTTTCAACAGAATTTTGGTTTGGTAAAATATTGTTTTCTTTAGAAAAATAGTATTTCTTAGCAATTTAATTATTAAATAATCAACAAGACAGCTACATAAAACAACTAGGTCCAATCTTATCAATTTCGTTAAACATTCAATGTACATAATTTTCTACTATACATATATTTAAATTATTCATTCTTCTATTTCTTATTCTTATATTTCTCTTATTTTCTTGACTTATCTTCAAGAATTTAATATATTTAAATAGAAACAATACCATATATTTCCATTCAAATATTTTTCCCTAATCCGCTTTGTTCATAAACAAATCGGCTTCTGTTGTTGACTTTTCCGGTTTTGTGATTTTGTTTTATATTTTTTATGCTTGGCGCCGCGGTTTTCTGGGCACCTTTTGCCTTCTTTTCTTGTGCTTATTTATTAAATGCGGTTTAATTAATTTGTTTGATTTATTTTTACCCGCCGTATGAATGAAATTGTTCATTTTCTTGCATTTTGCCTAAAGAGAGAAAGGGAGAAAGACTGTGACCCATATTAAATAAAATGAATTGCGTCAGCAGTTCGTTGCCTTTATATATTGTACAAATATATATTTTTGTTTTGTTGTATTGTTGTTTTTTTTCTTGCTTTATATCAGTGCTTTTGTGGATGATGCTTGGGTAATCTTTTTGCATCTTTTGTGTCTGTCTGGAGATCAAAATTCGCACTTTTCTGCCTCAAGCTTCTTTTCTTCTGCTCTGTCAAGTTTTCCTTTGTCTCACTTTGAGCGTTGCTTCACGCTCTCTTTTTTATTATTTTGTTTTATTATTTAACACTTACAATTTGTCAGTTTCTTTATGCTAAATGTTTGTTAAAAGCTAGTCGGTATTAGGTAATATTTATGGAGGAGATCAATGATTAATTTAAGAGTCTGTAAAGATTTTTCTTCAGTTTGTTATAGGTCACAGATAGAGTGAAAATTAAAACTATGAAGTAGCTTAATTTATTTGGAGGATATTTTAAAGGTATTGTGGAATAGTATCTTTAAAAGTATTCTTGAAATATTAATTTTATACCCAGTACCACTTCATATATTATTAGGTATTTTGTTCTTTAACGGAATAATAAAATAAATAATGAGATGAATAAAGAATTAAAATAAATAAAACTGAAAAAAATATGAATTGAATGAATTCAATAAATTGAATAAATCATCTGGATAAAATTATATTATTAATAAAATGAATAAAATTGTTATAATAAATCAAATGAATTAAATTATTCAATTGAATCAAAATTGAATTATCTAGTTTTATAAGAAGATTGAAAAAGGCACATCTTTAAAAATTAATTAAGTCTTTTGCATACAATTTTGATTTAATAACCACATTGATTTTCTTTCGTGTTTCTGCATTGAATATTTAAAATATAAACTTGGATGTGTGCTAAATGCAGGCCTTTTTATACCCTTACAGGGTATTATAATTTCAGTCTGAAGCTTGCAATGCCTTGAAGTAATCATTTCCGACCCTATAAGCCATATATATTCTTGATCAGCATCAACAGGCGAATCGTTCTAGGCATGTAGGAAAGAAAATAAATTTTTTAATTTTTTTTTTCTAAATTTATAATAGGTTATTACATCTTTAACATTTTAAAAATTCAACAATTTTTAAATAGTTAAAAAGTTTTTTTTGAAATGCAGACTTACTAAACTATTAAAACTTCCACAGAACAGCTTTCTGATTGGAAATTAATGCATTTTTGACTTAGTTATGAGTTTTTTAAGCTGTGGGTTGTACACAAATCTCCATATAAATATATAGATAAATATCGACCCTTACAGGGTATTATTATTTCAATCAGAAGCATCAAACGCAGTGAAGGAGTCATTTCCGACCCTATAAATCATATATATTCTTGATCAGCATGAACAGCAGAATCGGTTAAGCCATATTTGGAAGAATAATTTTTTCATTTTTTTTTTTCATAAAATTGTCATTAAATTTTATACTTTTAAATTGTCAAAATTTGACAAAAATTAAATTTAATAAAACTTCAACTTTTAGTATGCAGATTTTTTAGCCTTATAAAAACTAGCACAGAACAACTTTCCGAATTGAAATTAATGCACTTTTGGGTTAGTTATGAACCTGTGATCCCTTGGGTAACTTCAAGGGTATACACAGTTCGGCTTCTTGAAGTTAACTCCCTTTCTTGTTATATTTTGGTTCAGCGAAGTTTTCCTTTGCCTTGGTGACTTGCGCTGTTATTAATGCAGAAGTCGCAGCCAAGGCGAGCTTTTCATTTTCCCAGCCCGCAAACATTATCCAGAACCACCTACCACCCACTTGCCTCCTCCTCCTCCGCCCGCTGGGCAATCCCAGTTGATAAGCGCTTAAATATTTAAAGTGTGTATGTCAGGATGTCGGGAAGTTGCCAGATGTGTGGGTGACCGAAGGGGAAATTGGTGGGTATTATTGTGTCGCATTATGACGCAAGGAATTGCCTTTGGGAATGGTTAAAAAAAAAACGCAAGAAAAAAGAAGAGGAAACGAGATGGAAGGACTGTGTGTGAAAGAGAGCGGCTGGCGGGAAAAGTTAATTAACAATTTGTTTGCAACGCTTCGTTGACATTTAATGTCGCTGGTATTGTTGTCAATGAGATGATGATAATGATGATGATGATGATGATGTGATTTTCTTGATATTTGCTCTGCTTCTCCATCAGTTGTCAAATGGGAATTCATTCGAGAATTGCATTGGTAGCGGATAATGCGTGCATTTAAAGCTTAAAATCTTTTTATATATATTTTTATGGAAAAAGACAAGAGAAATCAGGTCGGTATCTCGGTTTATGTCATCTCTTCTTTAATTCCATAAATTATATATGATATTTTACTAAAAACCTTCTAAGTTCTAGTCTTATTAAAGTATTTGTTAAACTCTTCCTCCAACAGCTTCTTAAAATACCCCTTAAAAAATAACTTTCGTTTTAAATAATGTCTCAGAATGTCATTTTAATGGGGATTTGGATGACAATTTATGATAACCTTTACGCATATTAAAAAACCAAATTATAATATCTCAATGTTTCCTTTTCGCTTTCAGATCACCACATCCACTGCCAAGAAGCTGTGGGAGAAATCCGATGGCAAGGGCGTGACCTCGGGCACTTCCGGTGGTCCCCTTAACCCATTGCAAATACCCGGCATTGGGGATCCGTCGTCGGTATGGAAGGATCACACTTGGTCCACTCAGGGGGAGAATATCCTGGCCCCGCCTCCATCGCGAGCCTATGCCGCCCATGGTGGTGCCTCCGATACTTCAAACAGTGGAAATGCGGGCATTCTGAGGTGAGAATTCTGACACAATAATTATTAGCAAATGCAATCAATAGAGCGTGAAATATAGATAAGAAAATTCATTTCGATTTCATTACAATACAAATATATATATGTGTAATTTTAAATGGAGAGGGAAAGAACCTATAGTAAAGCGTGTTTTTAAAGCAATTATTTAATGATAATGAGCAGTTACTTTAACATATTTTAGGAATTAGAGATAGCAATTTTTTATGCTTATTTAAAAATATCATATCTTTAAATAGATTAAACAAACTAATTATTATACTAAACAATTGCGATGACTTTTCCTTTAATATATTTAAGTGGCAGTAAACTATAAAGTTTATTGCATTAAGTTGGCGTTAATGACTTATCGGCTGTCTACCTAATTGATTGATTTATTAATTATACTATGAGTTATAAACATCATAACTTATGAACTTTTATAAGAAATATGACATAATTCTTTGAGAAAAATAAGAATATGCTATAAATTTGATTAAATTGGATTAAATACATTTTTTGATATGATTTTTTTTGTAGAAATAGACAGAACATATATGAAAGAATAAGAAATGTAATATATTTATGATGTTTAAATCCTGTAACTAATATTATTACAAGGAAAGACTAGAAAAGAATTGTAATTACGATTCAGTTTGAGGATTTTGCTAGGATATTGGTTAGGATAGCTTAGTAGGATATAAAATAAATTAAATCGAAAAAGAAAGTAATTGCTGTAATATAAATTTATTCAATTAATCTTTATTTAAATACTAATAATGTTATATTTTATAGTCCCCGTGATTCCCAATGTGCTAAAATGGTGGAATACGTTTTGGGTGGTTCCCCCACCAACAAGGAGAGCCCTCTTTCCGGTTTGGAGCCGCGTCTGCGTAATCTTAAATTTGATGACAACGATAAGGTGAGTTGCCACAGACCTCAAGATACTCCAGAGATCATAAATTAATTGATATATCTTTTTGGATTTGCAGTCACACGATGACAAGGAAAAGGCCAACTCTCCGTTCGACACAAACGGATTGAAGAAGGACGATCAGGTCACAAACACAAATGGTGTTGTCAATGGCATTGACGATGACAAGGGCTTCAAGTGAGTATATAGAGGACAACTTTCAATCCATCCACCACAGACTCCAACTAATGGCCAGACTAGACAACAAAACTCGTAGACTCTGGTTGGTTTTGAAAACTGGTTTCCTCACTCCTCTGTCTATCTATCTGTTGGGTAATTCTTTGTGCTTCTTTGGTTCTCTTTTGACCGCAGAATGTTTTCATGTTATGATTACTGAAACTGAAATTTTTCCAGTTCAAGGTTGGTTCTTTCTTTTTGCATAAACTTTCACTCGGTTTGAGTGTTGTTAGGAAAGGAAGCCAAAGAAAAGAAAAGAAAGGTGAGGAGTTTTTCCAGTTTCAAGCTGTGATCGTGACTGGCAAATGGCTTAGAAAATATGATAGGAGATGTCTAGTCATTATGTTCTTACATTTCCGAAGGTTATTCAATAAGGAATTAATATTATATCATTATTAATTCACTTCGTTTACAAACTTGTGCAAAAATTTGGTTTGCTTTGAAAGTTTTGAACAAATTATGGAGTCTACACATAATTTATTTAAATGCAAACCTTAAATATACATATATATAAATGTTGACCCACAATTATTTGAGTTTTTTATTCACTCGGTCTTAACCCATTTTTCTTATATTTCAATTGCAATCGTCATAACTTCATATATATACGATGAGTTTGTATGGCATAAAGACGCCAAGTGATTGTTGTGTCTGCCCACAGTTTTCGTATTTCCATTTACATTTTTTATTATTATGTTTTAATTGTTATTTATGGCAATGGGGAAAGCTTTTTACTGTGTGGCCCACCTGCGTTCGTTTTTTGACGCAACGAAAATACATATGACACTTTTTTGAGTGAGTTTAATTGGAATTTGTATAGTTATGTTGAAAGATTGTATGTAATATAATGTATGTTTGATTTAATGACAATTTTTGTGTTGGCTTTAAACTAGTTAGGGAGGTAGTTTTGTATAGGGTTTTAGGTTTATTAATATATTAACTAGGTTATAATGAGCTTACCTTAGCTGGAAGGTAATTGGGTATATTAGTTATAGTAATAATTTTAGTCTTTTTCCTTTATTGGTAGTTCGTTCTTTTGTTTTTAGTTTATGAATGTTGAAAAATTGATATCTACAGAGAGGGGCGGAAAAAATGCCTGATATCTGCTATAGATTTAATAATAATAAACAAAGAAATAAAGAAGTAGAAATAAGCTTATGCCAATTAAAAGTTCTCATGAATTTATATACTTCAAAAATAACATCCTCTGTCTTGGAATATATTCAAATATTTCATTTATGCAGAAGGAAAGTATCTTAACTTACAATTTCCATATATAATATATTATTTTTTATGACCCTTAACAAGTCTTTTGTTAAAATCAAAGGGCTTTGTTCGATTTCTTGTTGCACAATTTGTGAGCGACTTCCTTTTGTCGCTCTAAATAATAATAATAATAATAAAAGAACTATATATATATATATCAAACTGAAGTAACCAGCTTTAGGCCTACAGAGAAAAAAAACCAGCCTGCGGTTTCTCTTCTTGTCTTTCTCTATATATCTCTCTCTCTCTCTCTCTCAGTATTTCTCTCATTCTCTGGTTTTGTGGCTGCCGCCGGCTGTCTCTTGTCTCTTTGTTGGTATTTGTTGCCTTCTTCTTCTGTTTGCTGCTGACGCTGTTTTGCAATTTCATTGCCGGTTGGCCCAAACATGTTTCAATGCCAAACGTAATAACTGTTATGATGTAAGTGGCAACAGCAACAACAACTACAACAACAACCACAAGCAAAGCCTGAAAAGAAGCACCTGCAACAAAATATTGGCTATAAGAAATCGAAATCGAAGCATCGAACGATGCATGTGTGTTCCGGTTTCAATTTAATTATAATTAGTTTCGCCAGTTTGGTTATTAGAAAAACGATTAGTTAGCTGCTAAGGGAAAGCAAAGCTATTGATTAAGCTATTAAATTAAAGGCAAAAAAATGATACAAAAATTATTACAGTGTCGTTTAAATATCTAAAGATATGTTTAAACTATTTAATACTTTTTCAAAACACTTTAAAATGTTTGTTAAAGTTATAAAAAGCAATCATTATTGTTCTATTAGTTAGTTAGTGGGAACTAAAACAATATTGGTGGTTGTACCTTTAAAATATTGTTTAAAATTAGGTTTACTTTATTCTAATTTCTGTCTTTAATGATAAAATAACATTACAAAACCCCAGCAAAATCAAATAAAAGTAAGAGCAATTGATTTAATTTCCCATTAAAATCTGTAAAGTGGAAAAATCCTGAAAGATAATCACTGAAAGCAACAATGAAAAACGAAAAAAAAAAAAAAACTGCAGGCAAAAACGTTTTGTATCATTTATTTTGTAAACATTTTCGATTAGTTTTCGTGTGATATTGCATTACAACGTGGGCTTCAGTTGCTTTTGGAGATTTCTTTTTTTTTATTCGGCTTTATTTTTTGTTGTTGTATTTTTTGTTGGTGTAGTTTTTGTTGTTGTATTTTTTGTTGGTGTATTTTTTTTTGCTGTACGTTTTGTTTGAAATTAAAGTTGCGAAAACATTGAAAAGCGAAAAGTGAGCTGCTAAAAATAATTCGAGGCAGGCAAAAGTGGACAGTCAAGTGACTGACTCACCTACTGGCGTACTTCGCCACCTGTCCGCCCGCCCAGGTGACCCAGACAGATGTGGCAGTAACCCATTAACACACCGAGCCACGCCCCTTAACCCACATATAAAGGGCCCACGTTGACCTTTTTGGCTGCCACATTTCTCTGTTTCTTTAACCCGCCGTACTTTCTTTTACATGGAAAGTGAAAATACAATTTTTTTGGGGGGCAACGAAAGAAGAAGATGAGGTAGCAGCATGAGGCCAATGGGGATTATATAATCTTTTTTTTATTGCTTTATTTGGCCTAGGTCAGACCAGACATGAGTCTCGGAATGGAAAGTTGCCAATGAAAAACCTGACCTTAGACAAAGATAGAATAGACCATGTGGAAATAATGGGGAAAAGTGAGAGTGAAAATGAGTTTGTTGGAAAACATTTGAATTTTAATAATAACTATTTTTATTATGAAATTTATCTGAGACATAATAGCACTTTATACTTCTGAGCCACGTAGGCATTGGTTTTCATTTAAAATATTAACTCTTTGATCACGTTTTCCTTTGGATTACGTGAGGATAACTTTGTAATTTTAAATTCCTATCTCTGGGGAAAGTCCTCAAAGTTTCTTTAATTTAAACCAAAATTATAACAAGGAAGTTATCATCTTAATCGTTTCGTTTTTAAGTTAATTACAGATTTCAGTGCTTTCTTGTTAATTTTATTTTTACTTAGTTTACTATTATTTCTGTTAAGAAGATGGAACAGTTTATACTTACATATTTCCAAAGTTATGGCTGGCTGAGCTCACGATTAAGATTATTATTCACCTGCCGCCTGTTGGCTTAGTAATCACAGACAGAACTCTGAAAGGCAGCTAAGCTTGTCTCAGATATGACTAATACAGGTAGTCAGTCATTAGATTTCCTTTGTTGTTTTTTTGTTTTAAGCTTTTGCCAAAAATAACATCAAGCTTCCTCCACAACGGGGAGATAAATGGTTGAAAAATAAATATGGTTAGAATTTAATTTGTTAAAATATTAATTTCGTATGTTTAAATGCATAGAAATCAGTAAAAAGCTTTGATATTTGAAGTAATTAAATTTTGAATATATAGAGTGACTAGTCTTAATTTTTGGTAAATGATTAAACTGTTTACAAATTATATTGATGAGAATTAATCAAAGAATTAACTAAATATTTATGATTTACCCAGAAATTGTAAATAATGTAAATGAAGAAGAAATTGAATTTAAAATTATTATTTAGTAGCAATAGAAAAATGTACATACAAAAAATGCCCCTACAGGGTATTATACTTTCAGTCAGAAGTTTACTATTCAGTGAAGGAGTCATTTCCGACCCTATAAACCATATATATTCTTGATCGGCATCAACAGGCGAATCTTTCTAGGCATCTAGGAAAGAAATTAAATTTTTTAAATTTTTTCCATATTTTATAACAGATTTTTACTTTGTTGACATTATGAAAAATTGACAAAAATTGTAATGTTTCAAAAATAAAATTCAGGAATGCAGATCTATTAACCTATTAAAAACTAGCTCAGAACAGCTGTCCGATTGGAAATTAATGCATTTTTGACAAAGTTATGAGTTTTTCAAGCTGTGGGTTGTAGAAAAATCTTCATAAAAATATAGAGATTAAATTATTAAAATTTCAGTGAGAAGCATTTAACGCAGTGAAGGAATTATTTCCGACCCTATAAATCATATATATTTTTGATCAGCATCAAAAGGCGAATCTTTCTAGGCATGTGGGAAAGAAAATAATTTTATTTAATTTTTTACATCTTTGACATTTTGAAAAATTGACAATTTTTTAAATGTTATGAAAATTTAATTTAGGTGTTCAGATTTAATGAACTATTAAAAACTAGCATAGAACAGCTTTCCGATTGGTAATTAATTCATTTTTGATCGATTTTCTCTGCAAGGGTATATATATATATATATATATATATATATATATATTTTAAAATACAATAATTTGCATTGTTTATAGTCACAAGAATATTTAATATCCTATTAAATATTGTCATAAATAATTAAAAAATTAATATTTTTAGAGTTAGCCCACCTCAATGTTTTACAGCCTCTGCCTCACATTATAAATCATTTGTTCTGTTACTGCAGCTGCGCTTTTTATTGTTATTAACGCGATGTGAATGACCCGACAATGAAATTATAGCTGGCAATTATACACACAAGCAAACACACAACACAAACACAACACACACACTCAATACATGCAGCAAAAACTGTTGCTAGAAAGAAATTAGAAAAACAGTAACAAAGTAAAGTAAAGTCAAAGTAGTCTAAAAAAAAAAATAAACAAAAGATTAAGCCCAACAGTTGCAAAGTCATTGCTGCTGGGCTGCAATGGGTTAATAGTTTTATTGAATGAATAATGAATAGCAGATGCTTAGCTGCTGTTCCAAAGATAAATGCATTAATTAATTTGTATACGCAGCGTGACTAACGGCGGCCAAACATTTCCAGTTTGATTTAATTTGCATTTTAAGCGCCGCTCGTTAATTTTTTTTATTTTGTTTGTTTATGAACTTTGTTCAGCTGTTGTGCTGACGTCATAATTGCGTTTGCAAAAAGAATAAGAAAAAAATTCAAACAAGTTTGCTGTTTAAGTCTTTTGTTTGCCCCTGCTTTGCGATGACTTTCAAACCGTTCTATTTTTTGATTTTCTGTACAAATTTGTTGATAAATTGGTCATAAATCTCCAAAGAGCTAATATTTATTGCCCAAATAATTTGTTTGGTAAATATATTATTTTTTCCTTTTTAATTACTTATTCATTATTTTTATTCTGCCAATAGTTTTAGGGATATTGTGCTAACTAGTTTGTCACTTTTAGTTCACTTAGAGTGTCTTAGCTCAATTATAGGTTTTGGTCTTGGCTAAGTGGTTGTTACAGTGAATCTCAAACAGTTGTAAACTGTTAAACTGCTGTTATTGTAATACACTGTAAACTGTTATGTTATGTTACAGGCTGTTAGGATGTTTAGTACATATCAAACTGTATTCAAGAAATTGTTAAGCATTAAGTGAAATCTGGGAAATTATTTAAATTTAAAGTTAAAATATTTAATAATTGTTTAAAAATATAATTAAAATATTAAAATTAATGGAATTCTTTACTGAACAAAATGTAACATTTTTCTTTTAATTCCCATTAAGAATTTATGTATAAAAATTGATTAAAATAGTTGTTTAAATGTGTACACAATTTATAATTATTTAATTTTTTGTTATATTTCTTGCAGTCGCACTCCTGGCTCTCGTCAACCCTCACCTGCCGAGGAGACCCTACCTCGTCCCCCCAACTTGCTATTCCCCCTGCCGCCCCCCTTTAACCACATGCTGATGGACCATGGTCAGGGCATGGGCGGCGGTTTGGGTGGCGTTGTGGGCTCCGGCAATGGCGTTGGAGGCGGCGGCGGCGGCGGAGGTGGTGGCGGCGGCGGTGGTGCAGGTGGTGCATATGCGGCTCACCAACAAATGGCCGCACAGATGAGTCAGCTGCAGCCGCCAATGATGAACGGCGTGGGCGGTGGTATGCCAATGGCAGCTCAGGTAGGATTTAGAATTCATTATCAATTCATTGAATTGTATATATTTATTAAATAATTAATAAATTGTATATCCTTTGCGGCAGTCTCCGATGTTGAATCACCAGGCAGCTGGACCCAATCATATGGAATCTCCCGGAAATCTCTTGCAGCAGCAAAATTTTGATGTTCAGGTGAGTTGTGAGTTGTCTTTCTCGAAGAAGAGTTTTGCTATTCGGTTGGTTTCTGGTTTCATGTCCCCAGAGTGACATTCTCATTGTCGGGAATTTGGGTCATGTGTTGTGGGTATTGCACCACCACAATGCCACAATGTGTTGTGTGTGTTGTGTGTGTGCAACAGAAGCTGGCTAATTTTGCACATCCGCCGGATGCTGCTACTGCTGTTGATGCTGCTGCTGTGTCCCCTGGTAGCCATTTCCGGCAGCCAGGCGCACTCTCTGTGTCCCAGAGTTCCACCCTCTCCTTCATATACATATATCCTTTCGCCCCCTTCCGTTGCAAGCAATTTATTTCGAAACAAAACGGAAATCGGATTTATTAGCCACAAAATTGCTTTTAAGCTTGTGTGCTCTGTTGTACCAGTGGCTTTCAAACCCAAAACCATTGGTTAGGCTCGCTTTCAGTCACATTTCTGTGGTTACAGTGGGACATCGTTAAGGGAGAAGGTACTGGAAAACATCAAACTAAAAATTAGTACAACTTTTGAACATTTTCAAGCTTTTCAATATGTTAAATATCATTTTGAGGGGTAAATAACTGCCTAAAAGCCTTTATAAGTATCCCTAATGTTTAAAAAACTATGGCAATTTATATAAATAATATTTTTTAACTGCTATTTCACTGTACTTGTTGTCAGTATCATTTCCTTTTGTCAACTTGGGCTTTATATCTGGCAAATAACAACAGCAACACATGCAACTTTTTTCCCTTTTGCTTGCCAAATTGAAAATCAATATGCGTTGTTGCAGTTTCCCCGATGCTGTATATATATCGGGGAGGGATATATCCCTTGCTTCACCCTTACGATATCCCTGTGGCCTTCGATTGTTTGGCCGCAAAGCAAATTGACATTTCCACACTTTAGTCGCCAATCTGCACTTCCGCTTTTTATCGTTCGCTCCACACACACACACACACACACACACTCAATCCACATCCTGCAGGCATTTTTGTGTAGCTTTTTGTCTTCACTTTTCTCTCGCCCAAAGAGGAGGCAAAACTTTATCGTAGCTCTTTGTTTGTATTTTAAGTGAAGAGAGAAAGAGAGAGAAGGAGCGCTGGAAAGTATGCTGCACAAAATTGCATCAAAGTGAAAAAGCCAGAGCACACATACACTGGCAGAAAACAGGAACTACATGCATAAACTATAGTTGGTTTATATCACTTCTGATCGCTTTGGCGAAAGTAACCGCGGAATGTCATTATGGCTGGAATGAAACATTTTTGTAGAAGCTGCTGACAGCCTGCGGTGAAAGGTGAAAGTTTAATGCGCTTCCTGTATTATTTTGCCGCAAGTTTTTTGCATAAGCAGCTTTCAATCGCATTAAATATAGTTAGTGAGTTCTCAGAGCAGGGTAATGATATTGTTTATAGGGAATTTGAAGGGTTTAGTAAGGGGTTAATTTATATAGTAATTTTTAGGAGTTCGTAAAAGGAACTTTGAGTTATAATTTGGATTTAAAAATATTAAAAAAATTATGTTCTACTTGAAGAAATGGAAATATAATAATTTTAAGGTGTTGTTATTTATTTTCTATTCAAAGAACTAGAAATATAACAAGTTCATTATTTAGATTCTAATTAAAGAACTGAAAATATAATTATAAGTGTTGTTTTACTTATTTTCCATTTAAAATTTGTAAATAAATGTTTTTATAATTAATGAAATTATAATTTCGTAAGAATCTTCCTTTAGTTATCAACATAAAACTGAAGACTTATCCTTTTAGGTCAGACGAATGTGAATTCCTTTTTGATTATATTGCTTTTAATGGTAAAAATCCCACAACAAATTAAATTTATATACCCAAAATGCAGTATATAAATTCCATAATATATGTGTAATAATAGTAATAATAATAATTATTATGCACTTATATTCCCAATGAAAGATAAAGTAACTTTCAACACTCGGCTGTCCATAAATAAACCAAAAGGAAAGGGGAAAGGGACAAAAGAAGGCATGGAGTTACCCGCAGATATGCATTTATTGGTTTCATGAGAAGCCACTGCAATATGTTTTCCCGATAATGGGTAATGCAAGCCAGGCACTCGTGCAGTTTTCCTCTGATTTTCCCCCTCATACAGTGCCTTTCGTGCATATTTCTTATTAAATTGGCGTTGATATTAACACCGAAAAAAAGAAGAAGGAAAAGCAAAGAAAAGGATTCTTGACGAATTGCATGCAAAATAACAAAGAAGGAAAAGGGTTTTTCTTTTTTTGGTTTCATATTTTCCTGAATATTAAGAGGGCGGCATTATGGCACCGCATACAATGCAACCTATTTTTTGACAATGGTTATATGCAATAAATATGAAGACGAACGACTTTCAGCCTTTGTTCGTTTGGGAAGGAGAAAAACTGGTAACAAAAAAGGTCACAGAAGATTGATAGGAAATAAAGGAAAATGTGATGATTTGTCAGAAAAAGATATGAGCAAGAGTCAGTGGAATTTCTTACTAAATCTATCAGAGATTATATTTAGATAATCATAAGGGTATGAAATCAAGTCCTTAGGAAAGATAAAAGTATATTTTCCTTGATTTATTTAAACTTATAATTTATTACAAAATTTCTGCTTAGTTTTTATTACAAAAACTGCAACTAAAAACCATAAAGAACCTGGAATTACGCACATATGGTGTGTGTAATACCCCCTTTAGAGTGTCAGCATGTGTAAGACAAATGGATGAATTGCCATTCAAATGGCAAAGAAATCATTATTTATATGCTTCACCCAGACAGAAGAGAGTGTAAAGTGAGAAGAAAATTCACCACAAAACCAAAGTGTATAGAGCTGGAAAATGGGTGGTAAATCTGCTTGGCAAATCGTTGAAAATTAATGCAAACTGTTGCCAAGAAAACCATCAATATAAATTTCAATGTGACCAATAACATATTTGCTAAAACTAGCCACTAGCAAATGAAGAAAAATAATGTCGAGACTTGAAACAATTAAAGGGAGTTTTCTTTTGATCTAAGAAATAGAGAAATTTCGAAAAAATGCTGGGAAAATATAGATAAAACAGAGAGAAAACATAGAGAAATGTAAAGGAAATGCAGGGGAAAAATAGATTAAATAGAGAGAAATAAAGAAAATGTAAACAAAATGTGGAGAAAATATCGAGTAAATAGATTTAATTAGCTTGATATTTTAAGTAAAGGACTTTAAACTATTTCTTTACTTACATTTGTATACATTTTTTTGAAAATATCTAAGCTTAAGGTAATTATAAAACTAATAACTGCTTTTTGGTACTATTTCCGCTTATATTTCTCTGAGAAAATCAAAACTAATTACGTTAGCTAAGGCCTAAAATGCTTCAAGACTTACGGAAAAGTTTTTCTTTTGTTACGAATACAGTTTTTTTTGTTTTATTTTTATTTTGGCCAACACTTTTGGTGGCTGTCTGTTGCAGACATGCTTCATTGACTGCCTTTGTGTGTTAATCAGTCAGTTGGTGAGGCTTTTGTTGCCTTCAAACGGGGCTTTAATCGGATAATTGTTTTCGCTGGCTTTTCTTTCTTTGTCTGCCTAATTCAGCTTTGATCTGAAAGTATGCTTAATTGATTTCCAAAAACATAGCTTTTCCCTTGAATTTGAGGTACTGTGAAAGTTGAAAGAAAGTGGAAAAGGTTTTTTTTATTGGTAATTAATTGTGCGAAAAAATAAAAATCTATAAAATGAAATCTAACATATTTATGCGAATGCAAAATATTTATGGTTAAATTTATGCAAATTTCTATAATATATTTTATTCATATATCCTTTCGAGTGCTTGATTTATGCATTCCTATTGCATAATATAATATAAATTGTTTTATTATTATAATTCTTTTTATTGGTATTATTGTGGCATAGTTTTAGACCCACAGGCAGCATTAACTAAATGGGAATGGAAATGGAAATGGAAATGGGTTAAGGCAATAGCCATTTTCATTCAGCAACAAATGCCAAATACATTTCACATTCAAATTCATTGTGCATAATTTATGATTGTGTTAAGTGTGAGCATGAAATTTGCATAAAAATGCATTTAAATCAATGGAAATGCAACATCTGCTTCTTGCTGCTGCTGCTGCTGCTGTTGCTATCTCTCATTATTGTTCCTGGCATATATTAATTCAGCAATTAATTAAGCGTTAATTGGCACAAAAAGCATACTGCTCATTATGCATGTGTGTATGGCACTTAGTAAATTAATTTCCAATTGTCCCCCGTATTCAGCCTTCAAATTGTCACGGTTTCCATTTAAATGCAGGATAAACTCATTGTTTTGTTGAATTTAATTTGGTTTTGTGATAAGGTTCGCAGAATACTAATCAAATTATACAAAAACTTTATTTTAGTCACTGAAAAATGGGGTTTAGGCATTAGAAAGTGGTTTGATTATGAGTGTCGCTAAAAATTGTATTATTACCTTTTTAATAATACTTTTTTTTTAATTTTTATTTAACTTTAGGTATAGGTAGAAAATCTTTTACTTATCTAGAGAGTTTTAAAAATCTCTTAAAGTTATCTAAATAGATTTTAAAATCTCTAATAGTTATCTAGAGAGATTTTAAAATCTCTAGAGGTTTTTTAAAGGTGTTTAAAAGTATGCAATGATTTTTATGATATACAAAATTCTTTGTGGACCTTTTTATACAATATAAAATGATCTGGCTCAATTTTCGACACTTTTTATGAGGTTTTGACAACAATTTGGAGATAAATGTATTATTTTAGCGACTTTAGTTAGATCCTTTGCTGATTATTTTAAGTATATTAATGCTACAAGTCTCTATATAACCTTTACTTTCACTTCATAAATACTCTTACAAACTTTAAACTCTGCTTTCTAAGACTACATTTTGCTAAAGTTCTCGAAGAGATGTTGGTTGCCATGGACAACGATAAATGTGTCTCCTCCACCAGGCACTTGTCGATTTCGCCTTCTGTTATCAGGTCGC